TCTCCTTGTGCAATGCCAATGCTACAATGCCCTGGTTAAAGGAGCATTGGGAAATGTAGCTGAGATATTTTGCAACCTCCTTCAGTGCCTAGGAAGGTTTTTGGGTCAGAGGAAGGGAGAGGAGGGGGAAAGCCCATTCAATTTACAAGCAGATTAAGGAAAAACACTCCACTGCCAATTTATTTTTAAAAAGGGTTGTGTGTTATTCTAAGGTTTGTCTGTATAATTGTACAACCGTTGAAAATTACATAAATTGTAATGATCTAATACTATTAACAGCCATTCAGAAAAAAAACTCCTTCCCCTTCTGAAACCATCAAGGGCCGGAGGGAAATGTCCCAGGAAATACGCCAATCTGAACTCTGGCCTCTAGCCTGGCAGAAACAGAAACAGAAAGATAAGAGAACAAACTGGACTAAGATGTGGTGTTTGCATGTGTCTGACTTGCAAGGGGAGGGGTGGCTTTGTCCTTGGCCGTGTTCTCCCAGAGGCAGTGCCTGCTTATCCCGGTGAAGCTGCCATCACTTCACTCGCTGCTCTCACCCCTGCACTGTGTCACTCCCTCCTGTCTTATGTGTCATGGAAGTCTTTCAGCAGGGTCCTCCGTCTCTGCTCTGCTATGTGCATCTGATTCTCTAAGTCCTGGTAAAACAGAAGGTAGAAACCGTTAGCATGAACTCCCCAGAGAAGAGCTCCTTTCCTTTAGGGAGAGACTAAGCTCCAGCCTGAGAGGCATCAACACACATTTGCACTTCACACGCACTCTGGATCACAGGATCGCAGAATCTTGTCCTTTTGACATGGTCTCCCTCTGCAGTTATGTGGTTCCTGCTCTATCTGAACAGCTGCACGCTTAAGGGATCTGCCCTTCACCACAGGGCTATGTACAGCTTCCTCCAGAGCTCTGCTTCAGTTTGCAGGACTCCCTGCAGCTCCCCCTCCTCTCCCACAAGGCAGCGACCACTCCACTTCCACATCTGCTGCCTAAAGGCGAGCTTTTGGATCTAGTTTCTCAGAACCCTCACCTGACCGCCTTAGCGCTCCTGCAGAAGCGTTAAGCCCAACAAACAAAATCTGTCCCGCTGGCTCAAGCAAGCAGAACACTCACCCCTCTGTCATAGCTGTCTGCTCGCTCCACCTTCCACGAGAGATTTTCAATTTCGGCTTCCAGCTGCGCCTGCTGGTACTCAAACTGCAAGGAGCAAAATTACAGACAGTGACAAGAAACTAGTTTAGTGGAGCAGTTTCATACCACACGCTATGCTTGAGGAGCAGACAAGTGTGTTCAGCTGACAGCTGTGCTGGCAGAGCAGGTTTGTGCCTCCTCCTTATCCACCTTCTGCTAGACAGCATCACCCCTTCCAGGATTTTCTTGTGTAAGCACGCCCCAACCTGCGTCACTCAAAATTAGGCAGCCGGAAAACACTGCAAGCGTTCTCCTAACTCAGCTCATTTTGCCATAAATGGGTCATGACGTGCTCTCGTGAGCAGCTCTGCAGGCAGAGCAGGGGGGTTGTTAACCACTGCTGGGAGCAGCGGCTTGTTCCACTGGCACAGTCAGATCCAGAGAGAACATCTGTCCACAGCCTCAGAGATACATGTGATGCTATTGGGAGAGACTGGATAACAGGTTTCACTGACAACTGAGTAAAAGAAACAACCTCTTCAGTGAATTCAGGGCTGCTTTTGGACATGTCCAGCTCATGGGATGCACCAAGCCAGCAAGGAACTTCTAGCAGGAATAAAAAGCTAAGCTGCACCCTGATTCAAGACTGGAAAAGCTATCCTCCAGCAGCTCTTCACGTGAAATACGGCCTACAGCACGGTGATAAGTCTTACCAAGGGATAAATGCACACTTCCAGCCTCAAAACATTCTGGATAAATTGCTTGTTAGTGAAAGTGCAGTGAAGTGCCCTGGGAAAATAATGTAGTGTGTCAGAGGACTGAGCTGCTGGTCAACTCGAAGTGAAGGGGAAAGGTACAAAATCACCTTTAATTTGTCCTGTCCTTACCTCAGACTCGGGATTAATATTTCAGACACTGTCAAGCTCAGCATGCTGCCAGCTACACCCCAAAAGGCTATCAGCAAAAGAGCGAGCAAAACATCTTACCAGTTTCTTTCTGGGACCAGACTCCATGTAGTAGGCATATGGATATGTGTACTGCAGGGTGTAACGACACTGTTGGGGAGTGAGAGGAAGAGAGAAAAGAACGAGTCTCAGACTTGGACGTCAGCACAGTCACATCTGTGTGACCACTACAGGCTAAGAAGCTTCCTTCTGGCAAGGACAACGGGACGCTTCATAGTCCCCATTTTCTACACCTTCTTTGGCAGAGCTTGTGCAGTTAAAGTATAACTTCACAGAGGTCACCTCCAGATGATTTTTGGCTAGTTCATGTCCTAGACCAGATGTATTGTCCCACATACCCACAACCCCTAAATCCCCTTCTTCACTTGGTATTGTGAATTTAGCATTCTGATGTATATTCTCTTCGCTGTGCCAAACAAGACAACTACCCACCTTTGCAAGTAGTTTTGCAGCATTTTGCAGGTATTGCCAGTCTATCCACGTTCCCAAGTTGTTCATAACTCTCTCTTGGATTTTCTCCTGGATTCGTTGGTATGTCTGTGCCTCCAGCTGGAGGCTTTTATTGTGATTCTCCCACTGCAAGGGGTGGGGGTAAGGAGATAG